CTGGTGGGCCCACTCATTCAAATATGATGCGACCATGTAAAAAACAAAACAATATCACTCAGAAAAAAAAAAAATTCCATTGCTCTCAAGAAGGATTGTTCAGTATTCCCAATAAAGAAGCCAAAGTGATAGTTTCTAAGAAACTAAATTATTGCGAAATAATCGGATAGGAAAAGCAGGACGAAAAGTGTTTCCTTGCCCAAAATCAGCCTGTTATTGCAAATTGGCGGGGCGAGATAAGCATTGTTTTGCTCCAGTGACTCCATAATTCTTTCTAAATAGGCTTACATGGTAGAAGTTTCAATCCAAGCAAAGTGTACGGAATCATGGAAGCATAAGAGTGCCTACAATGTATATCTCCCCATCAGTTTGCAAAGTTTTTTCACCAAACCATCCAAGCCAAGGCCACATAACTTCACTCGCGGTGTTACCACTTTCATTCTTATTTTTTCCCCATCGAAGCTGAGGCTACTCCAGTGGGCATATTAAAGAATTCATGTTGATACACTTTTCCTTACCTATTCAGTTAATGTTTCATATCACTAAAATTAATATTCCTATTTGAAAATGCTTACTATTAACAATAAAGAATGATATTATCCATCACTGAAGCACTATTTACACTTCTTATTTTCTTGAAAAGAAAGTCACTCTTTCTGCTTGATATGCGATATACCAGTGTGGCCTGTAGAGCCGTGACATAGTTTTGTTAAATATCGAGCTCATACCAGCATGGCCTGGAGAGCCAGCAGCCTGCAGAGCTGTGACATTGTTCTATCAGAGTATGAGTGTATACTACGGTGGCCTGCACAACCTGCCGCCTGGAAAGCCACCGCATAATTTTGTTAAAATATTAGCTATGCCAGTGTGGCCTGAAGAGCCAGCAGCCTGGAGAGCCATGACATAGTCGTGTTAGAATATGAGTTTATGCCAGTGAGGCCCAGAGAGCCAGCTGCCTGGGGTGCCATGACATAGATCTGTTTAATGTGAGTTTACACCAGTATTATAGTTTTGTCAAAACTCGAGTTATACTAGTGCGGCCTGGAGAACAGTGATATAGTTCTGTTAAAATTCAAGTTTCTACTGGCATAGCCCAGAGAGCCGGCAGGAGTTATAGGTTTGCATATGCATTTTGCATTGGGGTTCTTGTGTTTATTGCCCCTCCTTTTTGTTTCCCTCTTTTTATCTAGCCAGATGAGCGACTCCGACAGGTGGAGGAAAAGGTTAAACTCTTGGAGCAGGAGAAGGCTGTTGCAAGTTGCTTTAACGTGCTAACAACCCTCAGAAGCCAGTTAAGCAGGCGTCCGTCCCTTTTTGATCGTCATGAAGGAATAGTTGCTGGAATCATTGGTGCGCCTGGCGAGGACACAAGCCCACGATAAGGCTGAAGAATATTCTGCAGCACTAGACGAATTCAAGGCAAGAGGAGCCTCCCTTGAGTCTGGCCACTTGCAACACCTGATGCTTGGTTTGGTTGGCGATCCCCTTAGCACCAAAATGGCCAAAGAGGCAACTTCCATGTTGAAAGGGCTCTCAAGATAACCGCCCCTCCCCATCGATTGTCACCTTACCCGGTCCAGTGCTATAGCTGTCATGTTTGCAGCCACATAATGCACAATTGTAAGACTGGGCGCGGTGGTGGCCAAGGTCCCGGACACCAGTGAACGTCTGTGTGTAACCTTTGTACGGCCTATTCAATAAATTTGTGTGCTTCATTCCCATTTCCTACAATTCTGACATCCCTTCCCCTGCTGTTATTAACAACTCTGCTACTTGTGCTAAGTTTTCCCAGTTCGTCAGTGACACAATAAAATGGGTGTCTGCAGGGTTTATAGCAGCCTGGGGCCCAGACGATCTCGTAGCTTCCCCGTACTTGGTTTTGTCGTTGAATGTCGAGCCAACCAAGCCCTGATTATGTCACAATGAAAGATATTTGAATTTGTGGATCCGTGACCTTCCTTTTAAGCTCGATCATTTGCGCGATCTTCTAAGGTTATGTCCTTCCCCACCACTTCCAGACGACTTTCGACAACAAGAGTGGTTATCAGCACAAGCTGTTGCATTCCTCATCGCACACTTATTTTGGCTTTCAGTGGCAAGGTTTTTAATTCACCTTCTGTACTCTTCCATTCGGTTGGAAAGCCAGTGCATTCATTTATCACAAGCTCAGCCTCGAGGTTTTGGGTGCTGCTAGGTCCATTGGGGTTCTAGCGTCACAATACATTGACTACTGGCATGTGGGTCAGACTTTTACGGCTCCACTTCAGATGACTCGGGGTCCATCTTTCCAGCAGGCCCTGGCAGCAGCTTGTGTCATGTGTTACTTGCACAAGTCACAGTCCACTCCTTCGACTTGGCTGTGTTTTCTCAGTTCTGTGTGTAACTAGGTGCATCAAGCTTTTCTCATCCCCCAAGGAAAAAGAATCAAGTTCGCCACATTAGCCTTAAGACACTTCAGCGTTTTTCAGGGAAGGTGATCTCTTTTAAGTCTGGTTCAAGTCTCTACCGTGTGCTTCAAACAAATAGGCAACACCGAAATGTAAAGTTGGGCTACATTCAAGTAATTGGAGAGAATCTTACAAGTATCACTAGCCCTGTAACTCGACTGAGTTTCTTGGATGTTCAGAATCCTACTTTTTTCAGAAGTGTACAACAGAGCTGCTTCCCGCATGGACAATACAATTGATGCCTTGAGCATAACCGCTACCTTTATCACTCCATATTTAAAGGCTCGTTTGTGTCCGTCTTTCTCACTTTTTAATTCCTTCCTCAAGTGCGCAATATTTTCGGGAAGGGAACCAGACAAATTCCCTCTCCTAAGAACATTTAATCCATCCTTGCTGGTTTACATGGGTGAAACATCACGGTCTTTGTTATGCGTTTCGTTCCTTGCCCAGCGCCCGCCCTCTTGAAAATAAAACTTCTTAATACATCAGGAAAAGGTAACCTCGAATGTGAAATTGACGAGTTAATATCCAACAGATTTTCATAAATTTTGCTGTCAACAGGCTGAGTCTTACTAGGATTTCGTCAGGCACATTCTCTACAGACAGTTCAATATCGGCAGGCTGGCCTTCTGTAGGTGATTCAGTATCCGAGGGCAGGCTCTCTGTAGGCATTTCAATGTTAACAGGCTGACTTTCTGCGGGCGTTTCAGTATCTGAGGTCAGGCTCTCTGTAGGCATTTCCATTTGAGCAGGCTGACTATCTGCGGGCAGGCTCTCTGTAGGCATTTCAATGTTAACAGGCTGACTTTCTGCGGGTGTTTCAGTTTCTGTGGTCAGGCTCTCTGCAGTAGGCATTTCGATGTTAACAGGCTGACTTTCTGAGGGCGTTTCAGTATCTGCAGTCTGGCTCTCTGTTGGTTTTTTAATGTTAACAGGCTGACTTTTGGCTGGCATTACAGTATCTGTGGTCAGGCTCTCTGTAGGCATTTTAATGTTAACAGGCTGACTTTCTGCGGGCGCTTCAGTCTCCGCGGGCAGGCTCTCTGAAGGCATTTCAATGTTAGAAGACTGACTTTCTGAAGGCATTTCAATGTTAACAGGCTGGCTCTCTGCATGTGTTTCAGTATGGGTGGTCAGATTCGCTGCAACCTCCTGCGTTTCAGTATAGACTGGCGGATTCCCGTTGGCTTTGTGTGGGTTGTCAGCATGTGTTAAAATTCTACCTGTGCCAGAACTGTTGCCTTTTTTAAAAGATGCGGTTTTTGGAACTACGTAACCAAGGCTCACCTCATCCTGGACAATCCAACTTATTATTTGTGCCCTAAGTAAACTCGAGTTAGCTAAAATGTGCTTGATTGTTTTGACCTGGTTCATTGTAGCCTTGTCCAGTTTACTTTAATCCAGGATACATTTCCACAGGTTTTCATCCTTTCTGGCAAGAGCAGCCACAATAATCAGACAAAGTCCACAAGCATAGCCACATTTTTGCAGGGGGAAGCCCTGAAAACATCTTTCACTGCATTTGTGATTTGAACCACTGCCATTGACAAAGTGCATTAATGTTGATCGATGAGGCTTTGTGTATGGTTTCCCATGTGCAAAACAAAGCGTTTCAAAGTACTGTTTCATTACAGCCACAAGGTTATTTGGTAGATTCAATCCCGAAGAATCACCATAAGCAAAGTATTAAACACAAAATATGTCCAGTGATTTCCATTACCAACAGAAACTGTTCCATTTGGATTCTTTTTAACATTTAATGAGAAGTGCACATATCTCAACCCGACCTGTACCTTTGTATTGATCTCATCACGCAGATTTTTTGAAATTTTGGGGAGTGCAACAGTGATTCTGTGGCAACAAGAAATAGATGTTCCGTCGAGTCACAATTAAGCATCTAAAATATGCACTCAATTTAGTATCCTTTGGTTTGTGAATTTGGACAATGTCTTGCACTCCTTGCCACGAAAATGTTCCGTACTCTCGCCAAGTTACAACGAAGATCTGATCACAGTATTTGCTTTCCTGAGCTTTCATTCCATAAAAATCTTTTCTCGCGACCAAGCATGCATTCAGCGGCGGCATTACTGACAAAGCAGTTACTGAAGTTAATGTAGCATACTTTGATACAAAGGAATATATACGAGGGCGCAGTGCCAGAGTTGAATCTACACTAGGAAATGCCATAGATTTAACACAGTTTCTTGCCATATTTTGAAGCGACCAAAGAAAACTGTGTTGCTATTACTAGAAGATCTAGAGCTCTGTGATGTGCTTACCATGGCAGCAACGTGAGAACTTAGTACAGTTGTATATAGAATTATCGCTGTCATAAGTAACTTAGTCACTTTATTTATAACTCACTTTTGTTGCCAACTTCCCAGTGTTTCGTCACGTAGTGCAGGTTTTCTAGTAGTGCGCTGCTAGCCTGGGACCAGGCTTGGGAATGGTGCAAAAAACATCTGGTCACACTCAGCGCGCTTCGCTCACCAAATATATTTTTTGCACACTCTTGCTAAGCAGCCTGTTTGCAGGCTAGCGCACTGTGTGCAGAAACAACTGACTACATATGACATAGGCTAAAAGAAGAATTGATGCAAGGACAAAAAGGAAAGTTTTCTACACAGGCTATGTTTTCCCTACGGCATCGTATTTTTGGTCTAAAGTTGGAGCAAATGTTGTCCTTGGATGACCTGTGGTTAGAGTAGTCCAGGCCGCTTTATGGCTTAAGAAATTCTTTTGATCGCCTAGCTGTATTCTACTGTGAAACTCTTGAGGTCGATTTGTGGCATACGTTATGTTAAAGTTCGTACCAAATTATAATTGGTTAGTGTAATTTGGAATGGTGAACGAATCATGCCCTCACACCTCATAATTATTTTTTGGCAATATAATAGCATTTTGACACAAGACAATAGCGCCTTTTGACTCACACCTTGGGTATCGTTATTAACATATAACACTTCTGATCTTCGTGTGGAGAGGCAGTTCATTTCAACTATGAATGATTGAACATGGAGGGAAAAAGCTTCGAAGTCAATGTATTTGTTGACAAAAAGTCACTTCTCAACTTTTTGTTAAGGAGAAAGGTATGAATCTTTCACTCATAGAGGCGAAGGGAGCTCTTTTGGAAGATGTTTCCGAGTTTGTTCCCCAGCATTATTGGTTTTTGAAGCCGATCAGTGGAAATTCTAAAATACCACTTGCTGCCAAGCAGGAAAAACTGGTCACACTGAGAAAATGTCTTGTCGAAAGCAACAGGGAATTTTTCCTTTATCTTCAGAGTTGTGAGGAGAAGCCTAGTGAAAATATTGATGGAAAAAGTTGCAGCAAAGAGCGGGTGCTGAGAGCACACAAACAGAATGCCCAGATCAAAAAGTCGATGAGCCAGTACCAAGAAAGAGAGCAAAACAGACAACCATTGTTTCCGCATTCAAGATTCGCACAGAACGCCCTAAGGAGCCACTAGATTCGGCAAGGGGAAGAGTTCATCTGTACTCTTCGCGTGACATTGAAAGGGCCACTGATGGCCGCAAAGAGTACTACAAATTTTGGAATAGTAAAGCTCGAGAACCGTGCTCTGACCCGCACTTCAATGATTACAGAAAGCAAGAACTCCATGCTGTCATAGATACAGCATGGCAAATACGATTGTGTGAAATGTTGACAGCTAAAGTTGAAGCAGAGCTGCAAAATATGCCAGAAAGCAAGCCAGGATCACGCAATAAAACTGTCACTAAAAATATAAAAGGCGTAAAGGAAGCTAAGCAAATGGCAAATGAACTGAATCTTCAAATTCGTCAATAAAAGCAGCAGTCGAATGAAAAAGGTGGCAAAGCTGTGAAGGAGAAGATAATACGGAAGGAGGAGATGCTCTCGGATGCTATGACAGAAGTGAAACTCGCCTTGGATGCCCTCAGGAAAAGTTTTAAGAGCGACGGTCAGGAAGTATCGACCATCGAGTGGCAAGAGTTGAAAAATCGAATTCCTTCATTTTTTGTCCATAAATAGCTTTTAGGTAGATAAGTAATCTGATGAAAGTTGTTCTCGCAAAAAGCCTTTTATTTTCGAGAAAAGTAAAAATATTAGTTTTCGTGGTCGGAGTCTCAAAATGGCTGTAATTTCAACCCGAAATTTGCTAACATCAACTCTCCTCGCGTTCGCAAATAAAGGGGCAAGGAGAAATTTGGACACTTTCCATCAATAGAACAACTCTTCTTCTTTCACTGGAAGGTACTTTTAAAGCAATATCAAGAGTCGTTGAACTGTCATAATTCAAAAACAAAGAACAGGTTTTTACGGTGACAAAAAACTTTAATTTAGTAGTTGTTTTCTGCGGCATTATTTTTTCTGTGGTATAGCTCCAAATTTTCCCAGTCCTCGTTTATTCACACATTTAGACATTCATCTAAAACATACCTGAGAATTGGCTTAGGTTCCTGAAGGCAGCCTCCAAACGAAAGTGTCGAAGTCCGGTAAATATAGTGAAGCGTGACCCAACTAACTTATTTAACGGCACCAAGTTTCCTTGATCGTAAAGTAACAAGAAGAAATATCTTCCTGTTCCCTCATCCTTAGCGAATTACCATTGTTAAAGTACTTATTTTTCGATAAAAAGTGAGTAGCAGAATACTAGCGCGTTTGATTTTTTCTTCTTCAAAACTGACTATCGGCATTGAAAATGTTACTCTTTCAAGGATTCCGTTGCGTTACTTCCTTGATTCCGTGACTGTCATTTTGACGGCTCCGTCTCTTCAAATGTATGTTATGTCAGGTGCAGTCACGGAACAGATTGTCATGCAGAGTGGCCGGCTGGTAAAGTTGAGTGTTTTAAAGTGGCTAAAATTGACCCAGTTTCACCTTTTTACCCCACCCTTTCGATGAAAAAAGACACTTTGCAATGGGAAAACCCACAAGAAGTACGACAAACGAACCTTTAGGCTTAAATATCTACTTTTGTGCGTTTCGAAATTGGAAGTGTTTACACAATTACCGCCGTCCTACAATGAAAATTCCTGAACTTCGATGGTGTCTTACACAGATTTCCTTCAACAACCCAAGCCAATTCCCAGGTATGTTTTAAACGAATGTCTAAATGTGTGATTTAAATAGCATGAAGAGAATTTGGAGTTATACCACATGTTAAATGTTTCTGTCGAAAATGAGTAGCCAACTTAAGTTTTTGTCATCCTGAAAACCTATCCCTCATTTTTTAATTATTTCAGTACGACGAGCTTCGCTATTGCCCTGAAAGTATCTTTTAGTGGAAGAAGAATAATTTTTCTATTCATTGAAAGTGTCCAAATTTCTCCATGCGGCTTCGTTTGCGAACGCGAGGAAAGTTGATGTTAGCGAATTTCATGTTAAAAATTAGGGCAGTCTGAGACCCCGACATTGAAAACCGATCTTCTAATTTTTCTCACAAATAAAAGGCTTTTGGCAGGAGCAATCTACATTAGGTTTCTTATCGACCTAACAGCTATCTATCAACAAAAAATGAAAGAAATTGATTTTTCAACTCTTGCCACAAAATTAAGATTTTGGTCGATTTTTCCTGACCGTCGCTCTTAAAGTGCTACTACAACGAAAAATTTTTGCTTTTGTTTCCGAGTTTTTTTAACATAAATCTTTTCTATATGTTCAAAATTATACAAATAGTGAAAAATTGGAACGATACTTGCGTACAGGAAATGGAAATTTCCCACTGAAAAGTGCGTAAATACCGTCCGCCATTACGTCCGCCGTACGACGACAGTTGCGAACCTCTTGCCACCGAGGAAGAAGCCGCGGACTACAACGAAAGAGTTCATCGCGAAGAAGAAGAGGAACAACAGTATCAACAAAGATATTCGGGAGAGGTGCCAGCGAAAGAATGGTATAGTATTATCACTGAATGTAGATTTATATTTTTATTTTCCAATTTCACCATACCCGTTGTTAAATCGTGCACGTGACAAATGCAACTATGTGTTTCGCTTAAGTTTACATTTTCGTTGCTATGTGATTAGCTGTAGTCCTGATTTTATGCGATAGTTTTATTAAAGCGGTCGGACAATTATTTTATACAGATGTATTATTCTTGTGTTTGACGAAATTTTTCACATTATTTTGCAGGTGTTCATGCTCGAACTGCTCTGTCAGCCTTGTTACAAAAGCGCAGGAGTGCATTTGCTGCAAAGAGATTGATCTTTGTGAAGAGGTCATGGAAAAAGCCATTGGAAACCGGACCGTATGTATAACCCTCCATCCAGGGTTTGAAAGCGTCTGCTTAAACCGCCCATATTAGAAGTGGCTGCATTGGGCCTAAAAACGCGAGCTGGAAAGTCGTACACAACAACAAAATACCCATTTTGTGCAAATGCCTGTTTTACTATAACTATGAGAAGAAAGCAGAAAAGTATGAAAAAACATGCAACAATATGGGAATTCCAAATAGTCAGAGCATTCATTACACGAATATTGAACAACGATGCCAGAAAAAATCATGTCACAGGTAAATGAGGAAATAAATATAATGGTGATAAGCACAGCGCGAATACATTGTAATTTCACTCACCGATCGTCGACTCCGCTTTGATAGTGTTTCAGAGGATTTTTTCCAAATGTTTGGAAACCTCCCCTTTTTCAAATTCCTTTTCATGCCTTTCATCGGAAAAGCAAGCGTAAAACAATCCCTTGTGAAATGCTCCGAGCACACAGAAAATTTTCCCACCGGGTTGAAATCCTTCCGATGAATGGAGACAAACCTTTTCCACTTTAATCTTACGCTGCCCAAATCCCCAATTTATCGTTCTTTACGTTTCCACAGTCCTGAACAACACAACGGCTACAAGGCATACTTACGCTTTAAGTCAAAAAAGCGAAGAAAGTACCTAAGTTCCAAAAATATCTCGCCCTGCATGCGAAATTAGCCACGTTTGTGTGCCTTGTTTTGCTGCGTTGATGTTTCTACGTCACATCTCGCCCCAAGTCCTTCAAATACTACTCCCGGTCATTTTTTGAATCAAGTAATGGCAGCAAGACATTTACAAAAATTGCCGTGCAAATAAACACACTTCCAGATCATATTTGGACTCCAAACTTGGCACGGTAAGTCACTTTTACATATATTCTCGAAATATGTAATCAAAAACAAATTCCCAAATTTGATCATAGTAGCACTTTAAGAATGCTAATAAAGCTAAGTTGCAAACCGCCAAACCGTCTGTTCCTGGAGAAGAAGTGGAATTTGTAGTGAAAAGCCACAGCGAAGATGAGAGGCAAGATGATGATAACCTGGAAATTGGGCTTCACAACCATGAAGTTGAGGACCTAGTTAAGGAAGCAAACGAAAGTGACGATGATTGGTGAAATTTTAAATCGCGACGTTTCCATTCCCCACGTTCGTTCTGTTATAAATTTACATAAGAACTGGAAAAGGGTTAAGCATTGTATGCTATGGACAAATAGCAAGAAATTATCCAGTTGAAAATGTATTACATTTTGCATTTAAGATAGTTTAAAAAGAACAATTATACTGATCTACGAATGAAAAGTCCATTTTTGGTAGCATATTTACAAATAATTTCCCGAGTAATTTCAAGAATAATAAATTATCATTCTAGCAAAAGTGAGTAAATGCTACATGTACTTTTCTCTTTCAAGAGGGGTGCATTGGGCGGGCGGGAGGAGGAGCTCTGAATGCCACCAAACCACAATGATATTAATTTCTGCCGACACCACTTTCATATTTGCCCCCATGCGCTTATTTTGCTAGCTATCATCACCTTTCGCTTTGTTACTTCACAAGACATTTCTTTCTCCTTACTAAGACTTGGGGGATTCGATCATGCTGGCCGTTAGTCTGACATGCCAAATGAAGGGCCGTTTTAACAAAATGGTCAACAGCGCAAATAATTTTGTTTCACCGAATATCACAGGTGTAAAGATGCACATATCTTACACTGTTAGATTTCAGATCACCGCAATATCGCAAGATGGGAATTTATTTGATGAAATGCTGCACAAAAAATAGCAACTCAAACGCCAAATGGCCCCCTCTTTCCTACAAAAGAAGATTATTTGATGGTCCAATGTATCAACTAAACCAACCAAAGGTAACCAAAACAAACAAAGAACTCACTATAATCTGGGCCAGGGACTGGATACCGCTAATTTCCGCAATAATCTCTCACTTTTTTATTTAATACCAGGACCCAGTAAAAATAATCAATCCTTCCCCTCACCCACCTGCCACTCGTATGAAAGATACCAGGACTGAGTCATGGATAAGCTTCCTGACAAAATTCTCTTAAGAATCTTTTCCTTTCTCCATTTTACTGAGCGAATTGTTTTGAGTATAGTATCCCGCAGGTGGAGTTCTCTTCTTTATGATTACTCTTTGTGAAAGATATTTCCATAACTCAATCACACTGCGAGGATCAGCAACTGTCATCTCTATTCGCCGCTGCAAAAAGGCTAATGGCAATAGACTTCTTTAACAGCCATTTTTTGGATGGCTCATGGTTACTTCTAGGAGGACTATTAAGTGGACTCAGGCGCCTCACTTTGTCAGGGACCAGTATCACCGACGCAATTTTGTCAAGCGTTCTTTGAACTACCAGAGATCTAGAAGAACTTCTCTTAAACGAATTAGCGAGTTCTGCATACCAGAGATAATTGCCCTGAGGAAACTAAAGTATATTGGTTTCCCCCCTAAAGGTGTTTGCGGGTTCAGGAGGAGTGGAGTGCTATTAATTGTGAAAGCAAGTCCGTCACTGAGAATACTGGACTGTCAAGAAGGTCACTTTTTTGTCCAGGAGGAGATTTCGGAGATTGTCAGCAACAACTGTAACCTTACCAGCTTAATCATTCCCTACGCCTTTGTGGATGACAATACCTTCCTGTTCATCATTGAGAGCTAACAGAACTTAACATATATTTGTGTATGTGAGACAAACGTTTCTCAAGCATGTGTGGACTAAATGAAAATCGGGAAGCCTCTTTTAAATATTTGCTGGAATGTAAATCATACACCATAAAACTGACCTGAACTGAGAGTATCAGATTTACTAATTTTGTTCTTGATGTTTTTGGCCACACGTTTTAAATGAATCTAAGGCTTTGTTCTCTTGGGCATCATCTCTTTATGCTAGTTNCCTAAAGGTGTTTGCGGGTTCAGGAGGAGTGGAGTGCTATTAATTGTGAAAGCAAGTCCGTCACTGAGAATACTGGACTGTCAAGAAGGTCACTTTTTTGTCCAGGAGGAGATTTCGGAGATTGTCAGCAACAACTGTAACCTTACCAGCTTAATCATTCCCTACGCCTTTGTGGATGACAATACCTTCCTGTTCATCATTGAGAGCTAACAGAACTTAACATATATTTGTGTATGTGAGACAAACGTTTCTCAAGCATGTGTGGACTAAATGAAAATCGGGAAGCCTCTTTTAAATATTTGCTGGAATGTAAATCATACACCATAAAACTGACCTGAACTGAGAGTATCAGATTTACTAATTTTGTTCTTGATGTTTTTGGCCACACGTTTTAAATGAATCTAAGGCTTTGTTCTCTTGGGCATCATCTCTTTATGCTAGTTGGTACTGATGCTTATTTTGATTTTGTCTATACACATGATCCCAAAATGGCGGTAAACAGAGACAAGCTGGGTCTAGTTGCATGGAAGCGAGGCATCAAGGGCCTCGTTAATGACATGGCGTTCCTGGAGAATTGCACTGCAATAGGTTCTTTATTTTAAATGGAGAATGACATTCTGGGAAGTACACTAAATGGGAAGGATCCCTCCGCATTGAAGAATTTGAATCTCAAGTTTTGGTTAAGGTGTCGGGGCCACTCGTGTAAAGGATTGTCTGCAAAAGCTCAACTTTGTAACTGGTACATGTGCAGTTAAAAGACTTCTTTTGATCAAAATATAAGCTTAAGCTCTACTTTATATGCATAAACGTTTATCAGCCTGGATACACACTCTTGTACTCTTTTCCAGGGTCAGTGAATACTTAAAAGACAAAAATATCTCATCTCCTTGTTGATCCAGATGAAAACGGGATATGTACAAAGCGCAAGAGGCGCCTCCTGTGTCAAGTTAATGGTTCTCAAGAACTTGCAGCCAGCAGCCAGCAGCCATAATCTTCGGCCATACAAGATATAATACTAATAGCATAAAAAAAGAAATTGGTTAATTTGCTATTTGTTTTCTTTCATACTGTTGCCTGATTCAACTACATTTAGCATTACATCTTAAATTTTTAATTACGGTTATAATTCACTTAATTTTCTTCCATGTCATTGGCTAGCTTCATATGTATGACAAATTTTTGGATTTATAAGTAATTGTAATATTTTGAATATCTGTGTAGTTGGATTGAGTAAATAAATGCATAAATAAAAAAGGTTAGGACATACTCAAGTCTTTCTGCAATTCATTTGTTTCAGAGACTTTTTTTTGAGATGGGACGGGGCAACTTTTAGAAAACATACTACCACTTCAAGATCACTACGTTTCCAGGACTACCAGCAAAAAAAAATTAAGAAAGTGCTCCTCACTCAGATAGAGCAATTAATTGGTGCCCAGCCACAGCTACGCAAAAGGCTAATGTCACCATTTCCCACACAAAATAGAAGCAATTCAGACCCCTTTTTATTGTCAATGAATGCTTTGCAGGTTCTTCTAGGCTTTGCTCATGTTTTTCACCAAATATAGCCAAGACCAGTTGTTTTAGAACTTCAAGTAATCGCTAAACAAAACAAATTGGGTCCAATTTGGTATGGCATATCTAGGCTTATGTATGGGGATTGTGAAACTTCCAAGAATAAGCACGTACTGGAGAACAGACAACCCCTTACACCAGATAGGTGTTAGCTCTGTGATTACTGAAACGTGATTTTTCCACATTTGGAGATATTCCCAAGAGACGATCCTAGATTTGATAAAATTTATCGCGTCATGCAATTTTTAGACCTGGTCATAGCCAATAATCAACGTCTGTATGGCCTTGCCAGAAATAAGTCTATTGATGAGACCATGGTTCCCACAAAGGTCGCCTTTCATTCAAACAATATATAAGCGGTCATTGAGCGTGGTCAGTGGTCATCAAGCAAGATGGCCACGAAATTTAAAGCTCCGTGTTTAAGAGAAATTAAGTTAAAGTTTCATTTCAAATTCTCTTCCATTTTAACTTTTCATGTCAAAATCCTTTATGTAAACAATGTCTGCAACTAAGAGAGGAAAACAGAAGCAACAGGCAGAAGTTTCAGAAGAAGAAGACTTCGAAACATTTGTAAGAGAGTCGCTAGTGCAACTGAGCAAAGATCAGAAACAAATCATTCAGGACAGCTCAAACTAAAAAGCTTAAGTAAAACTGAATGAAACAGCGTTAGATAAAATATCTAGCCAATTTAAGACCCTCAACAACAGCTTTGAAGGACTCAAGGGCAAGCTTCATGACGTGAGGTGTAAAGTCGACGAGATGGAAAGCTCCGTTCAAAAACACGCTAAGCAAATTGAGGGAATGCGTGAAAGACTGCTGTCCCTTGAGCGGTATTCTCGAGAATACAACCTCCGTTTCCACAACGTCCCAAAATCTACTGACGAGGATTGTGTTCCAAAAGTCCGTAACATTTTATCAACTCAGCTTGATATGGAGCCGGAGATTGAAAACGCGCATCGTGTTGGTTCTCGAAATGACGACAAATCCTTTATCNATAGAGCAATTAATTGGTGCCCAGCCACAGCTACGCAAAAGGCTAATGTCACCATTTCCCACACAAAATAGAAGCAATTCAGACCCCTTTTTATTGTCAATGAATGCTTTGCAGGTTCTTCTAGGCTTTGCTCATGTTTTTCACCAAATATAGCCAAGACCAGTTGTTTTAGAACTTCAAGTAATCGCTAAACAAAACAAATTGGGTCCAATTTGGTATGGCATATCTAGGCTTATGTATGGGGATTGTGAAACTTCCAAGAATAAGCACGTACTGGAGAACAGACAACCCCTTACACCAGATAGGTGTTAGCTCTGTGATTACTGAAACGTGATTTTTCCACATTTGGAGATATTCCCAAGAGACGATCCTAGATTTGATAAAATTTATCGCGTCATGCAATTTTTAGACCTGGTCATAGCCAATAATCAACGTCTGTATGGCCTTGCCAGAAATAAGTCTATTGATGAGACCATGGTTCCCACAAAGGTCGCCTTTCATTCAAACAATATATAAGCGGTCATTGAGCGTGGTCAGTGGTCATCAAGCAAGATGGCCACGAAATTTAAAGCTCCGTGTTTAAGAGAAATTAAGTTAAAGTTTCATTTCAAATTCTCTTCCATTTTAACTTTTCATGTCAAAATCCTTTATGTAAACAATGTCTGCAACTAAGAGAGGAAAACAGAAGCAACAGGCAGAAGTTTCAGAAGAAGAAGACTTCGAAACATTTGTAAGAGAGTCGCTAGTGCAACTGAGCAAAGATCAGAAACAAATCATTCAGGACAGCTCAAACTAAAAAGCTTAAGTAAAACTGAATGAAACAGCGTTAGATAAAATATCTAGCCAATTTAAGACCCTCAACAACAGCTTTGAAGGACTCAAGGGCAAGCTTCATGACGTGAGGTGTAAAGTCGACGAGATGGAAAGCTCCGTTCAAAAACACGCTAAGCAAATTGAGGGAATGCGTGAAAGACTGCTGTCCCTTGAGCGGTATTCTCGAGAATACAACCTCCGTTTCCACAACGTCCCAAAATCTACTGACGAGGATTGTGTTCCAAAAGTCCGTAACATTTTATCAACTCAGCTTGATATGGAGCCGGAGATTGAAAACGCGCATCGTGTTGGTTCTCGAAATGACGACAAATCCTTTATCGTCCACAGAGGTATAAAGTTATCCAGAAGAAGCATGATCTTGAGGATGATATTTGGGTTACAGAGGATCTAATCTGGGAAGATCGTGAAGCAAAGAAGAAATTAAAGGAAGTAATGACGGGGGAATTTAAAAATGGCAAAAAGCCTAGATTCGCGCGCGGAAAACTTTACATAGATGTTCCACTTCGTGATCATATTACGCCTCATTATGCAAACCTTGGCCTAATTAAGCTTCCTGACATTGTTAAGCTAAATACCTGACAGCTGATTTACGATCACTTTGTAGATAAAAAGCCGCCTAATTTCACGCTGGCGTCAGTATCTGAGCAACAAAATTATGACACAAGAAGTGCATCCCTGCAACACCTAAATCTCAGAAGCTTTAGAAAAAATTTAAGAATATTCTGTCCAACAGTCATAGGATGCTAATGTTGGAATGATATTCCTTTATCTATACGTGAAAAAGCAACGAAAAAATTGTTTAAAAGAGCACTTTTCAACTATTATCTTGCTTAGTATTAATCATCACCACACCGACTCTCAAATGTTACATTTTTTATGTGTGTGTATGTGCTTTTCTTTTTTCCTCTCTTTTGAATATTTTTCATATATATTTCATAGTTTCTAGGGTTTATACTTTTCTCTTTTAACGTAAATAAAACTGTACTTTAATCAAAGGGCAAGTAATAAGTTTAACTATATCCTGCCCTCTCCATTTATTCTTATAACCTGATATTTAATTCTACAAATAGCATCTTTAATTCTTCAATCTTGTAATACAATATAAATGGCTTGTAAAATAAATAAATGGAGGAAAAATAAATAAACAAATAAACAATATATAAAAAACAAACCCGTGAGGTGGGGGATAAAACTGTGGGTCTTGTGTGAGGCCAAGACTGGTTATGTTGTTAAATTCCAAGTGTACCTGGGAAAAGAAGGTGGAAATGTAGAGCACAACTTACAACTTAGCATGAAGGGTAGTGAAACACCTTATTGCTCCAATTGAAGACAGGTTTCACAACTTGTACATGGATAACTTTTACTGTAACCGACATCTTTTTTTGGAACTTGAAAACCAAGAAACTGCTTGCCTGTGGAACCATAAGGGCAACTCGAAAGGGGAGAGGATATTGTAATTACAACTACCATGGAAAGAGGATGAATCGTGGAGATTTCTTATGGAGCAGCCATGGTAACCTTGCTGACATGGCATGCTGTGATAAGCGTCCAGTATATTAATTTTGATCTCCACTATTCATGGCGTTCTCAAGCTGGCCCGCATGAAGCAATACCTTGCCCTCCAGCACAATGTGCCAACCAAAAGTACATGGGTGGGGTAGACCTCAATGACCAAATTCTTCAGAGATTTTCTGTCATTTGCAAGTCAAAACAAGCTTGGAAAAAACCTTTTGTAATATGGAATTGAGCTTTGCCTGTTGAATTCATTTACTATGAACAAGAAAGTGAAGCAATCACCTCAAGATATCCTTCTGTATCAAATTTCAATTGTTGGGCATTTGTTGGAGGCAAGGTCGAGCAAGACCTGGTTGTCTACCGAGTCGGCCTCTAGCAGGTTTGGATGCAAAAAGGCTAAATAAGCAGTATCATCTCATGGCTGTGGAAGAGAAAAGGCGAGATTGTGTGGTTTGTGCCAAGATTGTGTCAGTTTAGAACCTGAGCAGAGGCTCAAAGTCCAGAACAAACACTGCTTGTGTCACAAGTGACCAAAAACCGCTCAGTATTCTCTTGCATCACAATTGTTGGGAAAAGTGGCACAATCTTGTGGAATACTGGCGATAGCTTTAGTGACCCATTGCTGTCTACTGAAATGGGACTTTGAACATAATTCTCTGCGTATCTACCATCACTGAGAACTGAGTTTGGTCATCAATGTTTTCATTCAGTTAGACAGCAGATGCTACAAACTGTTGCAAATGACTAGATTTATTTGCTTTGCACAAGTTTAGGCTATCTAGTTGACTTGTTGTGCTGTTAGAAAATTTATATGATGTTTTGTATTTTTTCGCATAATTTTATGTCAAAGAAATTCACGTTTCTTGAAACTAGAACACCGGCAGAAAAATGCCCATAACTTTGGTTCCGATGGCGATATTTTGATGTAATATAAAGTTTCTGAAACCTTATTTATTATGTTGTAATGGTGTTTCCCTTTATGACGGTATGGTGTGTTTTGA